TCAGTTTAAGAGCTCTAAACTGAACTGACTGATAAGACGAGAGCTCTAAACTGACACTGAACTGACTGCCAAGCAATCAGTCAGTCAGTCAGTCTCATCAGTTTGGATTGATTGTTAGCAACTCTGCACTGATCCACTGGTATCGAACGCCACACTCGCACTGGCTACACGACCCTAGCATAAGAGCCTGTTTGAACGCGTCTCTTATAGGGAGTGGTTGTGCAGGGTGACAAGAAGAGTGACTGTGATCAGGGCATGATGCAAGGTGTGGGTGGAGGTGCATGCACGTGAGAACCGAGGGCCGTGCTCTACGGGACAGTGGGGCAGCGGTTCGCGCGATTGGGCTGCTGGCTCCCGCTGAGTAAGATCATCGAGCGGCCCTAATGACTGTATCCAGTCAAGCTCCAACGCCTTTCCGCGGGCTGTCAAGGTCTCTCTCGAGGTCTGCCTTTCCAGCCACCTCAGCATGCAGCCTTTCTGCGGCCCTGCTCAACAGCGATTTCCATCCAGGCTCTCGATGGAATGCCTGTCGCGATCCCGCTATACTGAATCTTCCCCCAATAGGACAACAGATGGCGCCCACACAACCTGTGCCCCTTCACCGGTGTCGCCATATCCAGTCACAGTGTTTCTTTTCCACAGGTAATATGCAACCTCAGGGCGCCCTGGCGATACCGTGCCTCTACCCCGCCTGAGGCACGGGCGCTTTGCACCCACAATAAGCAGATGGGCTTGACGCGCCTTTGACGGCCAGGCGAATCGATGTTTAACCGATCCAAGCAGCGTGGATGAGGACGTTTAGACTATTGTTTATTGAGTGCTGGTGCGCACTGTGTAAGAGAGTCGCGGCTCAATCTCAGTATTGCCGCACCTCCAGCTTCAGCTGACCTAGAGTCGAGGCTGCCGCTAGTTGTCTATAGTAGCTGACATGATGTTGGTCTTTTCTACGCCTTGTGCCCGTACTTATCTTTAGTTTATTCTTATCAATCGAACGCCCTTCGGTTTGTCGCGATCCGCAATGCTAGGTTGCTATGATGTTCTCTCACAAGCGCGCTGAGGATATTCAGCTTCCCCCCACGCCCTATGTCCTGAGTCCCAGCGGCGATTGGGAAGGCAACGACGGAAGGTGGTCAACATTCCCCATCAATATCGGCGATGACCGTACGAACAGCAGCAATGGCCAGAATTTCAAGGTGCTCATATCCACCTCCTTGGGAACTACCTTAGTACCACAAAGAGTTGACTGGTGCACTTCTCCCACCGAGGATGAATGCGCAGCAAATCGCGGCATCGGATCGGACGGCAACAGTCAGTCTCTAGGATTCGATGATTCGAAGTCTCCCCAATGGAAACAAGTAGGAATTTACAATTTTCCATTGCCTGAGTGGTATAATATCACAGTGGAGGGAGATCCAAACGCGATCTGGGGGGAGGATAATGTGGGTTTGGGCGCTAGCTCACCACAAAGTTTCATCATGCCAGTTCAATATGTCACGCAGTATGCCATTTCCAACTTCTTTATGGGCTCGTTGGGACTGGCAGTAGGCTCCACTGGTCCGCCCGGGGCTTTCAGGCCAAACTTCATTGAGAACATGTACGGAGGTGCGCACAAGATTGCGAGTCGCTCATTTGGATACACGGCTGGCGCCTACTACCGTGAGTACATCATGCAGATTAAACACGTGTTTACTACTGCCATCCACAGAGCCCGAACGCTGACAAGTACAGGTAACAACAACAACGGATACCTCGCAAGCTTGGTATTCGGTGGTTACGATAGAACACGGCTGTCTGAGCAAGGTGGCGTCTCAATTAGTATGCCCAGCAAGCAGAACAACACACTTGCTGTGGGCGTCAATTCCATCACCTACAAGCCTGACCAGGAACTCGAAGCCAACCGATTTTCATTCACCAATAAAACAGGAGGCTTCCCTGCTACGATCGACTCCACGTTTCCATACCTTATACTGCCGGACGAAGTATGCGATGAATTTGTCACCGCTTTCGGTCTGACATTCGACAGAGATACCCAGTTATACACTGTCAATGAGACATCGCACGAGCAAAACCTACGACTTGACGCGAGTGTTACCTTCAAGATTAGCGCCAATCCTGACGTCGAAAGCACAAAATTTACATCCATCGTCCTACCATACTCGGCTCTGGATCAACAAGCTAGTTGGCCGTTCTATTCCAGTCAGACACGATACCTTCCTATAAGACGCACAGAGAATGGAAAGTTCGTGCTAGGGCGCACATTCCTGCAAGAGGCGTATATCGTTGTCGATTATGAACACCAAAACTTCACCGTTGCTCCAGCCGCATTCCCTGATCCAATGCCAAATCCGAGTTTAGTCACAATCTTCGACAGAGACTTTACGGGGCTACCCGTCCCAGACGATCCTGGCTCTGGAGGTGGTCTCTCGGCTGGTGCGATTGCCGGGATTGTTGTCGGTATCGTCGGCGCTTTCATTATAGTCGCCATAGGCGTCTTCTTCTTGTGGCGAAAACGCCGGCAGGCGAAGAAGCGAAAGGCGGAGGAAGAAGCGGAGAAGCCTTCTGAAATCGATACAACCTATGCAGGCACTGAGATCAAATATCGCCGTATTTCAGAGCTCACTGGTTCTGAAACTCTCCAGTCACCGAAAGATTCTACAACTGGCTACTACAACGCTGACCACAAGTCTATTCCTCCTATCAGCGAATTGTCACCCGAAAGCACTCCTGCCGAGCTTTATAGCCCTCCCCCCGAAGGCCGTGAAACTGTCGACTATTTCGCCGCTGGTAGAACGCGACGTCAAGGTGGGCCCAGCGATCGCGGCTCGTCCGGCAACAACACACCGCGCACGCCAATTGCAGAACTCCCCGGTGAAGATGCGATAAGCTCCTTGCCCAAAAAGAACGAAGACCCGAAACCGTTCCAGAAACCTCCGCACAGTCGAAGTCCGAGCGACAATTCACTTTCCACAAACATCGATGAAGTATTGGCGAATAAGAACGCATCAGAAGCGGAGCCTAGTACTGATGTGGCCAAATCAGAAGCAGAGCCTGGTGCGCCAGCTACTGCGGAAGAGATTGCTAGAGCGAAGGCAGGAGCACAATCTGGAAACACTGAACATGCGGAGGAATCTACAATGCATCGACGGCCGTCACACACTAGGGGATTGAGCGACACCACTATCCAAAGCGACAGCACAGCGGTCTCACAGCCAACACCTGAAGAGCTAGAACGCTGGCGGAGAAGTGAAGACGACCCGAACAGGCCGATGTCACCAGCTTGAAGGTCGACGTTTGCGGCTGCATGTTGGCGGAGGTGAAGGCGACTTCTTGATTGCACATTCTTCCTGTTTTTCTAGATGGTTGATTGTTTTGTGTCATGCTTTTTGCCTCCTTAACATTTTCATCCGAAACTACGACATTTCAAGTTCAATTTCTGATCTTTCTTTGATGGTGTTTATTACGATTGGATGATTGAGATACCCACTAGTACACTCTTTATGACTGTAATGTAATAGTACATCGCATTGCCATCTTTGCGCAGGACACAAAGTTCACAGCATCAGCACCTTTCAATGATTTTCCGGCGTCTCACAACAATCGAACGTTCTTGCGTAGTACGCATTACGATTCCCATGCGGTACAGCATCGTAAAAACAGTACTGCATCTGCAGCCCCACCGTACAATATTGTATGCTCCCCACACCAGTGGCTGCATCCTAGAGAACGGATCTTCTAGCTTCCGACATGTAGGAGCGGTAGAACACTACTGAAGATCTTCAATATGCGCATCGTTCCCATTTGACTCGCGACGGCAATACCGAATTGCCGCGTTGGTCGCAGTAAGGATCGTCGCTGCATGCGCATCCACGTTGACCAGGGCACATGGTGGAAGCATCAGAACTGCATCTGCTGTTGCTGTCGCTATTTTGACCGCAGCGCGAGGACGCGGGACTTATCGATATCATTCATAGAGGTATTGATCGAATTTCCACCTTCGTATACCTTCTCAGACAACAATGAAAATGTCTCGTCACCAACAATGAGGCTCAGCATTCCCCATTCTCCATTATGTCGAAAGAGGAAGGCGCGCACTCATGGGATCGCAGTATACGCCACCGTTCTTTGTTACCAGTCATTCCAGCGGCTGGCTAAAGTACCGTGCAGTAGCCCCGCATACGACTTACGTGAGAAAGCGGCACGGGTCTGGATCGTGAGTGAGAAGCGAAAAGAAAGCATTTTGGGGGCTGTCACACAGAACACGGGTCGCATATTGGGTGCAATGGAAGGCAAAGTCAGCCTGGGATGTCGTTGAGCGATATTGACGTGGCAATTCTCCATAGTCATACCGATCGCATGAGCGAGTTGTTGAGATGGTGCTTGGGCTTAGGTGGGTAATGGACATGCGATGAATCTTGCGATGAGCAGAAACACGGCACGTGTAAGCCTGCCTGGACAGCGTTCGTATAAGCAACGTAGTGGCGGGCGTTCATACAAGTCGGCATATATATTGCAAAAACGAGAGTTGCGTCTTGGCATGCGGGCTGCTCAGTGGGCGAGATGCGATGCAAAGCCATCATAGGATCGGAGCGCTGATAATTACATGCTCATTCGTATTGACGTCCTACACATGATATGTAGCTTGCAATGACGTCGTGTTAGAGTAATTGGAATTGCAACGCCTACGCCGCAATAAAGTACTTATTGGCCCGTCGATCTCTTTCGCATTGCCGGCCGTGGTGTGCATCGAGTTGCCGCTATTAATGCGGGTACCTAGCCGGGAGCACCACCCTCTTGGGATGTACCCGAGGTTTCGCTGCTTGCTGCCGCTAGAGAACTGCAGGTCCATAACACGGCAACATCGTGATCATGGGTGAAAAATCGCGCCACGCTCATGCGCAATATAGCATCGGCTGCAAATTCATTGGGTTGTTATGTTTGGCCTAGCCACTGCATGATGTGGAGGCAGAACTAGGGATTAGTCCTCGTCTGGAACCTGTTCGTCGACTGCGCTACCCATCTGAACGGCATACTTTGTGCCTTGTAGTTGTAAAGAGAAGGGCTGCGGCGCCTCGCCGTGGGAAGCGGAAGATCCCATAGGGGTAGGCTCTTGTTGAGGAATGACTGTCGGCTGCCGTAATGTAGATGACGTGTCCGTCAACGGTCCAGAACTCTGTCCTTGGCGTGTAAGATTCGCGAACAAATCCCATGTTGGAACTTGGTCGAGAAACGACAGAGGCCACTGTACAGCAGGTATCCAGCTTTGATCGATGACCTTCTGGCATGCCTTCATCACACGATGGCCCCAGTCCTCCATGAACCAGTATCGAGGCTCAGCTGCGAGAAGTACAACCGCGAAATGCATCAGAATGGCGATAGCGCCTGATCTCCGCTGTCGAAGAGATTCCATAAATTCTGGGTCCAAGTGGAGAGGCCAAAAGAACAGGAAACGTAGCTCTCGGTTATCGACCCGAGGAGGTAACGATATTTGAAGAGCTGGTTCAAAGTATGCCATGGTTGTGAGATATAATTTTCGTTCAGCCTCCGGAAGATCGGTCTTGTTTCCGATAAATGCAGTCAGTGCAGGCAAGTGGTCCTTCAACTCTTGTAGCATCGGTTGAGATGCAGTAGGTTCTGTCGGATCTCTCAACATAGGGCCGACAAAAGACTCTCTCACTGCGGCCTGAGCTAGCGCAAGAACATGTCCCATACCCTGCATAAGATGGAAGGCATTCATGATGCTATCGATGCCGTCTACTACTGCAGTAGTGGGTGCGGACTGAGCCTCAAATCCTGTTGAAGCAAAGACGCTTAAAGTCAGAAGCGTTGACGTAGCTACAATCGCCGGAGCCTCTTCGTTTGTAACGTTATGGAGCCTCTCGCGGACACCTCGAATCGCAAGATCCTGGTGGTGTATACCGCAAGCGTAGTATGGCTGGCGTTGATCTGAAGGCTGCTGGTACGCCTTGTGCAGCGCGGCAAAGGCTAGAATCTCATGCATAAAATAGTCGTGCGCGTTGGCGTGTTTAGGAGCCTCTACTCGCCACATATTTCGAAGATCAGGTCTCTGAGATAGCCCATCGAACGCCTTCGTTGTCCAGTGATGTCTAAAGATAATTGGTAACAATTCTTGCCCAAGCTAAGCCGACTTACAAGAGTTCCAAGTCTCGCAGCCATAGTGAAGACTGAGACGGTTGACCAGCATGTATATATCTAGACAAGAAGGGGTATGCATCAGAGTCGGAGGAATCCTCCTCCGATATTGTCGACACGGCCCTTGCTCCGGCTGCGGTCGACGGGTTGCGCGAGTAGCCTGTATGAGCGGCAGGCGTTGAAGATGCCGAAGAGTCCTGTTACACCAATGAGAAAAGCTCTAGTATGCGAAACGCCAGTTTGTGGGTCGTACAGCTATGGATCGTTCGGGCGGTGACTGATTCGTACGTCGCGATGAAGAGGCTGCGGAAGATGCCGAAGCGGTAGGCTGGTATGTATTGGGATCCCATACGACGAGGCTACACGGGACGCCATGGCGAGCGCAATTGGTGCACGGCTTGAGTTCATCACACTGAGCTACTTCAGTATCGACTCTATATAAGCATGTAGTGCTTGATTAAATATGATGCACCCTACCTTAACGTGACGAGCTTTGCATTGTCGGCAGCCTAACCGTGATCTATAAGAAGGAACTAGGTTAGACAAGAACACATGGAGAGCTTGACATATCGAACGGGGATGAACGGAAATGCAACGGCTTGATGTTACTGATTTGTGGGATGGCAATTGGTAAGGGTGGGGTGACGGTTACGGACTTTTTGTGGCCGAGGCGTGGCATTGCAGCGGGCTACGTGACCGGAGACCAGAGCTTTGGGCCTCGACGATGAACCGACCGATCAGGCTATCGTCGCAACGGACCGTCTCGAAGTCTTCCCAAGCCGCAGGATGAGGGATAACGCGAATGCGATGTGAGGTACGTGGACGATGCTTTCGTTGGTGGGTCGGGAGAATCTTCTCACGCAAGGATGATCCCACACTATACCCAGTTCAATCAAGACGATATCGAATCAAAATCTTCGCTGAAGTGGGTAGAGCTCGCATTCGCATTCGAGAGTTCGTAACGGGATAGATATAGCTTCCAAGATTGAGGTGGCCGTCGTCGACATCGCCGTTCAGTGGGTTAGTGCGACATCCGCTTCGTTCCGCACTTGACAACCCGTCTCAAATAATCGCGCGCTCGCCATCATAAATACAGCTCCATCTCTGCGGCGCCATCGTTGTATGTCAACTCCAATCAAGCGTGCGATAGTAACGTCATTAACCATGATGACTGGAAGATAATGCCTTGGAACTTATGTAGGTAGTGCTTTCTCGCGGAACCACGGCACACTCGTATGCATGGCGCCCATGCTTTTTGCGATCTGGAGGGATGGACGCCAAACGCAAAGTGCGAGACAGGAGCCTAGAGCTGGCCGCACACAAGAATTCGTACAATTCAGAGTTTCAACAAACTCACCTTTAATATTCCATCAAGGTAAATGTTGGAGTCATCTTTATCTGCCAGCTATGTTCAACTTGCAAGCCGCTTGGTGTTCGGTAACCTCGAAGATCACGTAAGGTTCCCATTTGTTTTTCTTGATTAGCATCAGGCTACGGCAATATTGGAGAGGGAGCGTCAGCAGACACAAGATGCGCCGATAACACGATTCCGGGTCGACATCGATGAGGTAGGGGTGGTCAGCCTTGGGCGCTCCAGCCGTCGAAAGAGTCATCAACAGCAGTGTATCGAACAGCAGTAATAATGAGCTCTTCGAATCTCCTGGCCGTCCGGCAATTCGCATGGTAGCGGCTCTGAGAAGTCTGCTCTTATTGGCTATCCATCCCACAGAAAGGCCTCTGACAGAAGGTACTGGTGACCTGGAAAAGGACATCAGTCGCACTCATCATGCTTAAAGAGGTTGAGTAGGCAATTACCAATAGGCAGAACATGAAGCTGGCTTCTCGGTTCTCTAAAATTTACCTACAAGGCTACAAGCAGGCCACGATTGCTGATTGCGATACTGATAACTCTACCAAGGTTAGCGAAGTGCGAGCCGCGGTTGGGTTTTGTGGCTTTTCATGCCACGACAAGACAAGGATGAGCGAAAATGCACCAGCCGTGTGAAAGCTTTATTGAATTCTTCTCCTCTTGGAAACCCAAACAGTGCACAGCATATCGCTACTTATCCCGATTACAACTTCGAGCCATCTTCGCGGGTCGTCCCCGACCAATTTTCACGATGTCTCAATCTGAAAGGGAAGAGACTTGCGACTCACATTACTTTCACAATGTCGCTCAAATAGTAGGGAGTATTCTGGACAGGGTGAAGAAGTCATGTTGTACCGCAGGGTACGCTCGCTTTCGATCTTATATGACCCCTGCTACATTCATACGCACAAGCAAATCACCACGACGAAACGGCAACGTCGATCAACCGGGAACGATTCTGCCAATCTATCCAAGGACGATAGATTCACAACACTCGTTTCGGATGTCTTCGATTAGCGCAAGGACAACCTCCATCGAGTTGACTGCAGATGTTATTGATGGACTTCGAAATCTTTCCGTTGTGAGAAATAGTTCCGATAAGGGAATCGATGACGAAGAGAATATAAATTCCGACTTGCTGGACGATCTTGATGACGAAGACTTGGAGATCGTCTTCGGATACCGCGTTGACCTCATCACCCAAGAGAGTCAACATAAGCGCAAACCGATCTACACGCGCGGACTGCTGAACGATGTCAAACTATTTGTCGACCAGATACGTGAAGGGTTTTCTATAAGACCTGATCAAAGAGGCTTTCAAAATCTATATGGTTACGGGCTAAATCACAATAGCTACAAGATCTGGCGATTGGATAACAACAATCTTAACTCTAACTTCATCCAGGTTGAATATCTTTCCCGGGTAGAGATGCATCCTGAGTTCCAGCATCGATATGGTATACATTCTGACCAGATCAAAGCGCTTCGAGTACAACAAAGATAGCAAAAATGATTGCATCGACACACCATACACGTTCATAACCTTCGATCGGCAGTGCTTGAATGAACACCAAGATACTGCTAAGATGCAAGAATATTGGGCAGCTATGATGCACACGAAAAGACTCTGGAAAGAGAGCTCTTCAAGGAGGAAGCTTCGTGAAGACTTCGAGGAAACAGCTAAGAGATGTGTACCGATTACGCAGGTCGTGTGCTTTGGACTGGGTGCGCTGAATCTGAACAAGAAGTTTTATCATTCGGCTATCCAGTACATGGCCGTTTTCAGCATCATACAAATTTTGAACGACTTTTACCGCCAAACTGACCCGGATCGGCATGCGATAAAGCTTGTGCTCCAAGATCCGAACTACGAGATCAAAGCCCATTAAATCTTGAAGAGACTATCCAATGACGGCGATAATATCAACTTCGTGTCCGATCCAGAAGGTCTCCTAGCGATCGACGCCGGTACACTAGTAGTCACGGCTTTCCTCCCCGTTCAGATGCCACTGGTTCAAGTCATAGCGGACTTGTTCTCGAAAGACCCAACCGAAGGTCCAGCGGCCATAATATGCGATATCATGACAGTCGACGTCGAGAAGCGAGAATACTCACTGAGCGATCGCGCATCACCAGCGGTCGCACGATTCCTCACATACCATTATGAAAAAGCGGAGGATGGTTTCGATGACCATGGACTCGAGGATGAGCTCATGGCGGATGCATATGGAGATGACTGGGAGAATAGGTTTTATTGGTTGAATTGGATGGATCTTTGGGTACGAAAATTCGACACAAATTAGAACCATTCTGCAGACAGCGAGTGAATAGTTTGCCGTGTTCACAGTCCTGTCATAGTGATTCTGCATTGCGACAGCATTTCATACGGTAAACTGCAAGCATACCGTCCACAGAATACGTGGCAGGCAATTATGTAGACCATGTATAGAGTCATGTAAAAACCAATGCCGGTTCATGTGCACGCGTGAGTATTTCGACAGAGATGCTTAGACCTCGAGGCTTCCAGTTCCAGGCCTTGGGCCAGCCAAAGAAGGGTATATCCATGCAAAAACATCTCTTCCTTGTCCCTCGATATCTCTCCAGCCGACCTGTCCTCTAACTCAACAACTCTTTAATATCTTCAATCCTCTGTACTCTCTTTTCTTCATCGCTCATCATACCCAACGAACTCGCACTGTCTCACATTAGCATATACCCAACCACCAACACCACTTCCTCAAACTTACATAAACTTCTTCCTCTCCTGAATCCTAAGCATCTTCTCCTCAATACTCCCCTCCACGCAGAATCTCACAACCTTGACCTCCCTCTCTTGCCCCATCCGATGTACTCGATCGATAGCCTGCGCCTCAACCGCAAAACTCCACCACGGATCCATCATAAACACTTTATTCGCACACGTCAAGTTCAACCCCACACCACCCGCTCTCAAACTTAGTAGCAAAACGTAAGGTTTATGCGACGTGGTAAACTCAGCCAGTATACGCGCACGCTCTTTCTGCGAAATGGAGCCGTCAAAGCGGAGAAAGGGGATGTGGTCTCGTGTTAGAGCCGGTTCGATGAGATCGAGGAAGGATGTGAATTGGGAGAAAACGACAGTCTTGGCACCTTTTTCTTCTTTGCGAGTTTTCTTGAGGTGCCCTAGGAGGGCTTGAGTTTTTGCGGAGCCGGAGAGGCCGATGCGGCGTAGGCTTATGCGGGGGGTTTGTGTAGAGGGAGGCGGTGATACGGAGGCGCGGAGGCCGAAGGGATGTTCTTTCTCGTCATCTTCAGTCACATGGTCGTGGCGGACTACTTCGAAGACGTCGCGTGCGTTGATGGGTTCGCGGCAGTTGAAGCAGCGGGGAATTTCGTTCTTGTCGCGCTGGTGAGCTATGTAGTTTAGTAGACATTCTTTGCATGCTGAGTGCCAGCAGCCAGTAACTGCTTGTTCGATCATGGGTTCTTCCGAGCAAATCGGGCATTCGGCTGTAGCTTCATCCTGGATCTGTTTCAGGACGTGTGCGCCAAACTTATTGACATCCTGATCGCCTTCGGCTGTGAAGCGCTCGATGAGAGAAGAGAGGTCCATGTCATCTGCTAATCCATTTGCGAGATCTGATGCTAGCGTAGCATCTTCTTCATCAGCGACAATGTTCGCTTTGCGTGTCAAAACAGGATGACAGCATGATTGCCGTAGTCGCAGAATCTGGGCAAAGATTGTCGTGTAGGATTTCATCAGTGTACCGGCTTCTGCGTTGGCACTGAAGAAGCTCTTTGCTCGTAGATAGATGTGGTCGTACACGTCACGCTCAGCCTGTGATAACACAATCTTCTCAACCTCGATTGTCCGTAGGGGCAGTGGTACCAGGGCCTCGCCGTCAGGTGTTTTCATGTCTTTGGTTCGACGAAGTACCAATGGCTCTAGCACAGTTTGTACCACATTCAAAGCACGCACAAAGTCGCCTGATTCAAAAGGAACCGTAATGAACGACTTCCAGAAGGAGAAATTCGCCCATGGCTCGACCTTGAGGAAGCGGACTAGGCTGAAAAGGTCCTCGAGACGGTTGACAATGGGAGTTCCAGTAAGCGCCCACCGATGTTTTGCGCTGAGTTCGTAGCAAGCTTTTGCTGTTTTCGACTGCCGGTTCTTGATGTAGTGTGCTTCATCAAGGATGATACGGAAGTAGTCGAGCGAGAAAATGCCACCGTGTGAACCTCGATTTCCATCCTGCGCAATGACCTGATTGTACTCTGACAGTACTGTACCGTAACTCGTGATGACAACGTTGGGCGCGTTAGCTGCATTCGATGCGCAGCATAGCTTTTGAAGATTCACGGCCTTTTCCGATCCGTAGTAGACCATAGCCTTCAGCGTACCATCTTTGGACGCCTTCTCAGCTTCGCTATGCCATTGCGCAAGTAGTGACATGGGCGCTATGACTAACGTAGTGTATGGCGCAGGCTCGACATCAGCACTCGCTTTTTGCAACCGCGGCAGACGTTTCGGTGTCGCCAATGTATCGTCGTCGACTTCTGTCCTATGTGTATGGATCAAACTGAGCATTTCGATAGTCTTGCCGAGACCCATCTCATCGGCGAGTATACCACCGAGGCAATTCTGCTCCTGTTTTGGGAACTCTAGCGAAAGCTCGCCGGAGTAGGGATTGACGTAAAACATGGTCTGATCCTCAATGACCGTTACCGGCTGGTTGTCTGCATCTTGTACTGGCCATTGATACTCCTCCCACAATGGATGCATCGAGGTCTCTTTATCCTCTATCGATTGATGTTTCTCTTTGCTGACCATCCAGTATAGTGCCTGCTTCTGGTACTTTCGCAAATCCATGCGGAAAGTCCTGGCTGGCTCCATGGTCGGAGTGTTGAAATCGAATGATTGCGCCTTCTTGTACAGCGAGTCGAGCTGGTCTTGTTCCAGCTCTTCTCCTTCTTCGGCTTCATCGGGAGGTGGTGAAGATGTAGGATCGGCAGGCGTCATCGGCGTTGCTGGTGTGCCACTTTTCGGCTTTGGTTTATCGCTCTTCTTCTCCTCACTCTCTGCCGCTTGTAGTAGGCCTTGTCGCTTATGCTTTGCTGTCGTCTCGTTCTCGCGTGTTGGCTGGAGGTTGATGTTTTCAAAAAGCTTGACCAAACCAATTTGACGCAGGCGAAGGTCTCGTTCATCGGACGATTCCTTTTGCTCGAACAGGTTGATCTCTCGGTTGTTGTCCGGTTTGGCAAACTGTCGCTTGTCGAATGCCGCACGAATGAAATAAGCCCGCAGCTGCAGATAAATGGTGTCGCCAGTCCGTAGTTTGTCCGGCGTGTACACGACCGAGCCTTCAAAAGAGCAGACCTGCTGGTCGAGTAGTACCGACACCCAAGTAGCGGAGTCTTTGTCCAACCTGCCAACTTCCTCGCCCCGCCCGTTCAGAAACCTGACTATGATGTCTGGCTTCTTGAGTTGGATAACCTTCTTCGCCTTGTTTAATTTGGGTTGTGGCTTCATACGCTCGATCCGAATCTTCTCGTCGTGTTTCAGCAAGTTGCTTCCGCTTTTGGTGGCCCAGGCTGCAACACCGAAGGAACCAATATATCGTTTGCTAGGCATCTCTCGTAGTATTGTTGGTGTAGACGTCCCCGAGCCTGGTGTGGATGCGATTGACATTTCGGAATCGGTGCGCTTCATGGCATTCGCTATTGTCATCTGGACGGGCTGCCGGCGGGGCTGGAAGATGGGAGCAGGAATTGGTGGTGACATTTTACTCCAGGAACCGTCTAGATAGAGGTTTATTGCTACCAATTGTAAGCCATACGCCTGAAGTCGCTCATCTGCTTACATACCTCGTTCTACATTGCTACCGCTCACGTCCTTCAGCTTCCGTAGTACAGTGGTCGAAAGCTCTCCTACAACTGCCTGGAGCATGGCGACATCGAAGCTACCAAAATCAGTCTCCTCGTCGTTTCCATTGCTTTCGTCTGGTCTTCCTGTGCCATATAGTGGCGGGGACGACGGAGGAGGAGGGTCGGTGGGGTTTGAGCGGACCTGTAGAGGTGAAGAGTCGTCCTCTATGAAGAATCGGGGCTTTTTTGCAGGTCTCTCGTCGGGATGTGGCGACTCCATGGTGTTGTGCGATGTCGTTGTTGGTGTTGCGCATTCGCCGCTCTGCATGCAATTCGACGCGTCGACGCGCTTTCACGTGGCGACTGCGGGTGATCGACGTGATAGCGTCATACAACCAGCCAGTCGCCATCCACTCTTTGCGCCTTACCGCGCGCAACTGTGTCTACCCCAGATTGTGCATACATCTCGTCATTCTTTAACAACTGCTCGATTTCTCCTTGACCCTCTGTCTGGTCTGCCATGAGTTCTTGCCTTGTACAATAGTTTTCCCCCATCTCAAAAGTTTTCAATGCCACTTCCCAGGCTCCGCACAGCTCCCATTCGGCGCATACACAACTACCCCAGCCCACGACGGAGGCAATTCCACGCTTCGCCCTGTCTGCAGAATGCGGCTCGTCCCTCCCAAGATGAAATCGCACGTGCTCGAGCATACTGCGCAAACCTAGTCAGAACATACGATGCGCCCTCACATATCCTCCAAACCTTCATACCGCAATCCTCCCGAGATGCCTACCTCGCTATCCGCGCCTTCAACGTCGATGTCGCTCGCGTCGCCGATACGACCAGTACACCCACAAGTGGCATGATGCGCATGCAGTTCTGGAGAGATACTGTTACCAAGGCATTAGCTGGCACGCCACCGAAAGAGCCAGTTGCCATTCTCTTAGCACAAGCGGCTGAGGATTTACACGAGCGATCTGATGGAAAGGCACGGCTAAGCAAGAACTGGTTCCATCGCATCATCAATACAAGAGAACAGTACCTAGGCAATCCACCATACCCCACCTTGACCGCACTGGAGAGCTACGCGGAGAACACATACTCAACAATGCTATATCTGACGTTGTCGGCACTCCCTCAAGCTTCCCTTACCACAGACCACATTGCATCGCACATCGGCAAGGCCATGGGTATCGCTGCTGTACTACGCGGCATCCCACTCATCGCCTTCCCTCCACAACAGCCACTAGGTACAAGCAACTCCATGACAGGCCAATCTGGCCCAACCCAAGGCGCCGTACTTCTTCCCCTCGATGTAATGGCTGAAGCCAACGTCCGCGAAGAAGACGTCTTCCGACAAGGCGCATCTGCTCCCGGTCTGCGCGACGCCATCTTCACAGTTGCAACACGCGCAAACGATCATCTCATCACTGCGCGCGAGATGCTTTCGAAACTACGATCAGAGGGTACCCTTGGCCATGACTTTGAACACCAGAATGAGGAAGATCATCAATATAGTGTGCAGCAGATGAATACAGGGCAGGAGGCGCAGTTGGCGGAGGTGGAACAAGCCTTTGGGGTTTTTATGCCGAGTATCGCGACGCAGAGTTGGTTGGATAGGTTACAGGGCGTAGACTTTGATGTCTTTGATGCGAGTCTCAGAAAGGTGGATTGGAAGTTGCCCATGAAGGCTTATTGGGCGTATAGTCGACGGAAGATATGATCTTCAAAAAGAAATGGGATAGTAAAACATGGGACTCTCAAAGCCGCAATGTTTTGGAACGGCTTTGGAGACTATTGCTAGGGTATCCGGCAGCGAGGTCAGGAAGAACTGACGAATAGGACCATAAAGGGTATGTGTGATAAATCCTTAAATCTCGGGCCTTGAGTTCATGCTATGCTCAGTACGTTCTTTTATGATGAACTCCGGATTGACTCCGGTGCGGACATACATGCGTTCACAATGAGATTTTCGTACATGCTCTCCTCACTCCACCCAAACATGTTCGTATCTTCTTTCGTCTTGATCAAATGACCAGTTCACAAGGTAGAGAAGAACATGATTATGACCACTCCGGCTTTTTTGTCGTTTTCTCCATTCACAAAAACATGGAATAATGGTAATTGAGGCGGATGATGACACGCAGAGGCATCTTGTTGAATGCAAAAGCTTTAGACCACTCGGCGCGGAAAACAACATCATGATGGTGTCTCTGTATTTTGGTGTTTTTGGTAAACGTAATAGAAGATGGAAGAGAGAGAGCTACCGAGGCAGCGAGACATCTTATACGCACTGGTTGAACGTGCTAACTATTCCATGTGTAGCAGCGGATCTTCTTCTCAGAGGGAAGAAGAAGCGCGCAGTCCACCTAGGTGACATGCCATTGCATTTTAGTTTTGCATACATTTTGCGATTGGAGCAGTAGCCGACTTCGCAATGTCTAGAAAGCAAGCGCGCAGATCATGTATAGTTCAAAGATGGTTTTGGTAGTCGGTGGCGGCGGCAGCGGCAGCAGAGCCATCGATAGGTCTACCATAGCTTTTGTTAAGCATATTTTGGATATCTGAGAATTATTGGTGAGGTGACGAAGGGATTCAAGAGACAACGATTTTATATGTTGTCAAGCTACTCATTCTGAAGCATGAGTTAAGCGAATACCGCGGCGAGAACGACCATGCGCGAGGATATTGCTGACCTTGTTCTTTTAGAAAGGTAACCAGATATTTGAGAGGAAAGCAAGTAGTGGCGCATGTCTTTGCGCAGGCGATTATTCGGACAAGTCAAATTAACGACATCGTGCTCCGACCATACTCCGGTGGGTCGCAGGTTTTGAGAACAGCAGTGGAGTACGTGGTACAAGCCTGAGCATACTGGAGTTAGAACGCAAAGGCAAGATCATGACGTTGTTCTCGTTAGGATTCTCCAAACCATGCCAGAAACATGTCCTGGATTTCAGTGAATTTTGAGGAATTTGAGGAACAAGAATGATGTCGTGGTTTTGAGACAGATTCAATGCCTTTCTCTATACACTAAGCAACACCAAAATCCAGGCAGCCATAGCGAGCGAGGCATCTCAATTTGAAAGATGTAGTGAGTGCTCTTAGGAATTTTGATTTTCGAGCATATTCAGACATGGGCGCGGTCAGTAGTGTTTTCGAGGACTAGCCCAGCACACTACATGTAGCTCTTCAGTAATGTTCTAGAAAAAGTGGTCAGGGAAGGCTTTTTTCTGAAAGGCTAGGGCTAACATTGCGATAGTGAGTTGACATGAAGAAACACGATGGCGTGTTGGAAGGAGCGTGGCTCATGTCGCTCTTTTCAGCTCGTTTTGAACGAAGCGCACATGACACGTTTGTCTGTAGTTTTAGGGGAAAAGAAGAGAAACGGTACTTGAAAGTCAGAGTAGCAGAGTAGATTTGCGCTCTTAATATATAGTCATGTTGCAAACGAATACGTCTTAGCGAGACCTACACCGTGGTTGAAGCCATTGCGTCAAGCGCGGACAATGCCTGCAACCTTGTCTACGCGTTTCTGATAGCTAGCATAGACATGTTAGAGGCATGAAACATCCGTATTAGAACAAACGCGCGACATACGAAAAAGCTTGTATAGATAGTCAGTATCGCAAGGCGAGGACGCGAGGATAGATCCACAACTCCAATCGCGAGATTTATTGAGCCCCGCCCATCGTACCCAAAACAGTTAGTTCAGGAATTCTGCCTGTCATTCTTCCGCCCTTTACCATATCGCAGTCATCACGAAGAGTGAAAAGCTGTTGCCTTCGTTCTCATATCCTGCATCTCAGTTGGAACGCCAATTGACAATGGCGTCAAACGTGTGTGCCATCGGTCGCAACCCCCTGGCCACCTGCAAGCTAACAACCACAGCAACAACCGAACACATCGCTTACCTGGGCGCCATCGTTCAAAGAGGACGATTCTAGAGTAGGCTTTCTGGACCTACCACGCGAGCTTCGAGATCTAGTCTATGAGTTCGCGTTTCGCGTCCCAGGCGCGATTCTCGTTTACTCGCGCGACCCCTTTGCTGTCCGGCCAGTCGCGAGAGCAATGAACATCCGGCATGGCGGTGACGGACCGATTGAACCGCAACCGCTAAGCACTGGCCAAATACCCGTCGCACTTTGGAGAACATGTCGACAGCTTCGAGCGGAGAGCAGCCCAGTATTTTATGGAATGAACGTCCTCTCTTTCTGGGCTCTAGGCAACATCAACGTCGGACTTGCCAACATGTGTTTAGTAAGGCACGTTGTAACTGAAGCAAGTCCTCGCGGCATCTTTGACAAGTCTCTCGAGCATGTGAGCTATTGCTGGAAGAGACGGTTTTGGCCTGAGGTATTACGCAATGGCGAGGCGATATTAGAAGAGTTTCCAAACTTGGAAACACTGACATTCTCATTGAAGCCGCCGCGTGGGACGACCTTCAAACCGGCTTTCTTCGCTGTGACCAACAAGACTAGGGAGCAGCGTGTTGGTCTGGTTGCTACTTGGATGGGTCAAAGATCTTGGTGGGAAGACGAGCGAATGCGTCAGATCTTGCACCTAGAGATGGTACCATCGCCCGGGTTATCGAAAGATGAATACGCAGGTTCGCGATTCGTTCCCGAAGACGACGATGTCTGGGACTGTACAGAGTTTACGGATGCATTCGAGCAGATGAAAGACTCGATGCAGTCGGACGCGCATGTTGACGCTTCGATCGGATGATCGTGAGAGATTGAGCATGAGGGAATGACTACGTCAGTTGAAGGATGAGAACCATGAGGTCAAGGAGTGCTCGATCGCGTGAACCATGTTTCGTCTCTTCCCTGGCATACCCACTACTCGCTGTACCCACCCGAGCCATCACCGAACATCAACCTCATCACCACCACTACAATACGAAGATCAACATCCTCAACATCTCGGCCTACATCACCCCATACCCGCATTGCCACTCCAGATCCTATATTTCTTCCCCGCCAAGACCCCGCAGAGCCGCACAGCCCTGCATACCCCAAATAGGAAATCCTTTCCCGCCCATCGCCTCACCAAACATGGAAGAATACAACAATCCCATCCCATCGCGCACCTCCGATCCCTGGTTGATCAGGCATTCTAGCCCTGACGTCTGTTGTTCTAAAGCCACCGGTTCGGCGGGACAGAGCCTTGCCTCATGCGAGTGATCCCCGACAAGGGGCCAGGATGAAGTATAGTGTGCATACCAGGGCGAGCAAGTAAGGTACCCGCTCAAGTGCATGTTATGTGTCATCGGCGTGGTACCGCAAGTGCCGATGCGAGGCGCGCTGGTTGCATGTCATGTATCAAGGATGTGGGGAGACTTGTGATCTAGAATGCTGTGCTAGCCGTGTAACGTGGGTAAAGACTTTTCTCCGGTAGTGCGACTCGAGGGGCGAATATCGTGAGGTACGTTTTGGGAAGGTGTATCCGATGGGGATGAGTGGTGAAGCGGTGAGGTCTCGACTGGCTGGCAGGTGGAGGCAGGTGGTGCTGGCGACTGACATGTGAAGCTGAGGGGCTGGTGTAGCAAGCTTCCGCCACGTAGCAGCGTCTGCATGTTGGAAAAACAATCACTGGTCGTAGTTTGAGGTCTCTTCAGTGGAGGATGGAATGTGCAGTGGTGTGAGAGCGTAGAAGTTGATTCTGCTGATACTATGTATTACTTGCTATTATGTATATCACAACGCGTGATCTGACAGTTGAACTTTTCTTTGTGCTAATGCAAAACGCCTGCTGGATATTCATCCCATGCAAGAGGGGCACCGTACAGGCCCAACTCAAGCAACCCAGCAATGAACCAAAACGCCATACAAAAACAGACAAGAAGAGTGGCGAGCATATGAACGCGACGCCGGGTATATCCTACAGTCCACTAGTGATAGTTCCAAGCAAAATCAGGCCAATGGCACAGTAAGGAGATTCGTGAAGCGTCGATGATTGCATCGTAAATGGGGTATAGATAATGAAAAGAAATGGAAGGCTCAAAGCTACTGCTCCAGGCTGAAGCTACCGGAACGAGAGCTGTTGTTGGACCATGGGAATTCGCAGTCCTCGATGTAAGTGGGCGGGCTAATGGGAACGTCCTCGTACAGAGGGGGCTGCTCCTCATCCCAGGCGATACCCATACCAGAGCGCTCAGTAAGAACGAGGTGGAACTGGGTACGGAGAACGCGGGCAGCACCAGTAGGAGTAGCCTGGCTAAGCTTCTTCAGTGGTGCCCACTCTTCAGCAACGACCATCTCGATGATAAGGTTGTGCTTAACGCTCATTCCGCTAGGGCTCTCCATGTCGCATAGAGGCTTGAGGCCGACGTTGCAGGCAGCCTGGAACTCTACATCGATTTCGCCCTTCTCGAAGTCGGTCTTCCAGCCAGTCTTGACCTCCTCGCTAGCGATGGCGCGGACATCCTCATGAAGGACGCCTTTGCCCTCACCACCGACCTTGGAGATGTGCTTGGCGCAAGCTGGAGCGATGAACTTCTGGGTTTCTTCGATACGCCAGTTGAGCTTGCGAAGTCTCCAGCGCGTCTGTGAGTCCGCCTTGTTCTGAACGATACCGGATAAGCGCATCTCAATGGGAAAGTCGCCAATCGGGTGGATGACCGGTGGCAGCTTAACCGAAGCGGTTAGGTTGGTGGGTGGGAAGATTCGAATGGAGTGCTTTTCGGCACCCGGGAAGATGGCGCGCTTGATGTCAAGGTTACGCTTGTAGGTAATCTTTCCCGATGAGGTAGTGGCAACAGCAGACAGGTAGTAATCGACGGTAGCGAGGCTGCCATGCGTAGTCGCGGGTAGGTGTCCCGGTAGCAAATGGCTAAAGGGGAAAGTGTGTGGACCATGACGCAGGGTGGTAGGATGCGTCAGGAACTCCCACTTGTGGATTTCAGTGGTTTGCGTGCTGCACTCGGCGCAGTGTGGGGCGACAGGCTTCTTAGTGGAAACGATGGCGAGCATGCGCATCTCGAATTTTTCCACGGTGACGTAGGGATCATGAACATTGATGACGAGCTGACCCGAGAAAATTGCGCCAGTCGAAGTTTGCGGGCTGTTGTAGAAGACAATGGGTGGCGACTCGACGCTCATGTTCATGGAAGCCGCACCCTGAGCCTCAACCTTGGGGCTCTTCTTGACTTCTTCCTTTTCCTTCGCGTGCTTGTCATGCTTGTGGCGGTTGAAGATATCCATGACGAGCGACTCTTCCGACTTGGACTTTGCTTTTACGCGGGGTGCGTCGTATGAGTATACTGGCGGAAGCAGGCCCTCGGCGTGTGGTTTAACGGGGTCCAGTTTAGGCAATGGCGTGGGCGCAACCCTCGCGAGGGTGCTCAACAGACGACCGGGCATGATAAAGAATCCGGGGTAGGGCTGAGATTGAGTGACGTGAGTGGATGATTGTAGTTGAGAATCTGCGAGATAAGGGGCTGGCCAATGGTGTGAAGGCGTGGGCCGCGATCCGATATGCAAGTAATTGATAAGTGCGACGTTCAAGAGTTGACCTTGTGGGAGTGTAGGTGGTTAATAAGTGTCTGTGGCAGGAACATGTTCTGACTTGCAGAGTAACCAAGGGGGTTACTTGGGGTAGGGCGTGGCCTTATTTAAAGGCGTAGACGCATTTTCATGGAAGTTTTACATGAGAGAAACTCGATTTCGCATGATTTCATCGCTAACGCCAGATGCAGGGATGGCGCACGCCACGCTAACGGGTTCAAGCAAGCCCACCCCTACGCCTTCCATACAATTTTTGGGTCAGGAGGAAGGTACGCACGGCCTGCCGCTCTCGTGATCGTCCTGTAACTGTCGTGCCTGCCGACTAAAAAGACGTCAACAACCTTCTCAGCTGAGCTTGTACCAGAAAGAGTGATTATTCACGCCCAACTAACTTTGCTATGCATCACCACGCACACGCAGTTATGCTGACCGCCGATTGATCACCATAGCCGAATGCACTCCGAAATTCAGCTTGTGCTTTTCCCGCCGCCAACAAGGCACCGTGGTGGCTTGATGCATCACCGGCCAACATATGTGACTCGCCGACGGCCTTTCTCTCCAGCACACATTATACCAGACTGTCTCCACCGGAAAACCCTGGGGCTCTCGTCCATCGCAACGGCAGACTTTCCGCCCGCTAGCATTCATTCGCTGACGCACATCTGATGCGCTGTTCCCCGCAACATGGCGTTATGATCGCCTCAGAAGTGTGACTCTGGGGATGAACTTTCGAGCATCTCCTCGGACTGCCCATCACCGGAGCGCCTCCCCGCATTCTTCAGGGGCGCGAACCGTCACCGCAGAATGTGCACCTGACACTTGTCTGGGTAATCACCATGTGCTCTACTCGCCTACATTGCGTATTGCTAATTGTGCAACGTCTTCGTCAATTCACAGTCATGTTGGTCGTGCATCGCGATGTTCATCGATGCCAAGGCGCGCCGTCGTTAGGTAATGCGTTGAATTTTTCCTCACACCCACCGTGGTGCGAATACAAACGCTGACTGGGTACTCCACCTATCCCAGATCCTTTACAGCTTCTTTACACACTTTGGCGTTCCGGCCCGATATTGGCTGTTACCTGAGGTGGCTCGTGTGAGAGCATCCACTGTTGGGAGACCAGACTGGTCTACATTACTCGATGGAAACACCAGCGGTTCCGCTCACGCAAGCAGTTTCGCGTCGGAGAGGCCCGACGTCTACATGTGGGTCAGGGCAGGCCAGGCTCCAAAACACCAGCTTGCGAATCTCACGATACTTCGCTTAACGCTTAACAACGGTGACGCTTGCATGGCGTCCGCGATCTGCCAAGAGCAGGGTTCCCGATCCGGTAAAATTATTGCAACCTCTGCATCCCTGACTTCTTCGTACCATTCTACACCGGTGCATTGAGCCCGTGTGGCGCACCCATGGTTCGTTCAGGGATCTCATTCCCGTTGTCGACATGTGCGTCTTGGGCTGGCATGCCACGCGTGTTCAGAGTCATCATGTCGAAATTTGACGTGCACCTGGCGCCATCCAATGGCCCGTGAACGTGCTATGGCACCATGTTGGCAGCATCGAACAACGTCTCACCGCTCGCACGGTTTCTGGAAGCAGACATAACTCGCGGTGTCTAGACTTCTAGTGAATGCACCTGCATTGCGGCTCTTCGTAGCCTCATTAGGGCACAAAGCTTCGATCTAGGACGGCCCGATTCGGTATACCTTTCTCGAACTTCATCAACCGTCTCATGTCGATGGCGTACGGCGCTTCCGCTGTGGCGCTCCTGATATCGGCGTCTCCTCCGTCGTATTCAGCCTTTTATCATTATCGCGCACCAAAGTAGTCTTCCAAAGCGCTTCTAGTGCCCTCGGCTTCGCTTTTCTCTATGGAATGCCGAAGAACCCCGGATTTGAATGCGGAGTAAATGTCCTAAGTACATCTTTTCATTCCGAACACCGGCGGCAGCAATACCGTAACACCAAGCTTTATGCTCCAAGTCCACGGAACCCCATCCGGGCTCATGCGAAATTTCTTCACATGTCAATGACAGGTGTGACACGCAAGCGCGTCAGGAGAACACGTCTCACGGACACGCCTCACACGCCTTACACCAAGTGGATCTCGTTTCGCGAGGAATGGTTTTTCGCGACGAGCATACCCACACCAGCGCACCGCTAGTACCCGCGCATAAACAGTACTACGATCTCCTTTTACACCTGTCGATCTGCCGTAGAAAGTATGCAACTGTTCCCTCTAGTACTTACAGCAAGATTTTCAATTTCTCCACAAAACACCAAGGCAGCGCAAGCACGCAATATCACGGTTCCTGTTTCTAGGAGAATTACCTGAAGATGTCGAGGAACTGCAATCGTGCTGCTTACGTTGGTTTTGAGCCAGGACAAGACAATTTTTCAGTTCGGCTTCAGTATCAGCAGACATCTGGAGTATCGTCCATGGTGACTTATACTCAAGCTTCTTCCACAGTTGACTCCAGGAAAGATGATGGGTAGGTGCGATCCTCGTTCCACTTCGTCAACCCTGGTACGGAAGATATTGCAAACTCCTCCCTAGCATCGTGTGGAGTAGGTGGGTAAATTTTTGGCGTCAAGCTAACTCGCTTCTCGCGTGTGACATCGCAGACTTTTCTCAGGGATCCCTAATCCTCCAAGTGTGCCTGAGATGAATTCCCCGCGACCAGGTTTAGTAAAATCTATCAAGAATGGTTCTCCAAAAGCGAAATGCGAACAACGGCTAAGTGCAGAAGTCAGGCACATATGCATAATAACTTGTCGTTGGCAAATGCATCAATTCATTAGATCGTGCTATATGCCATGTAGACCTCCACCCATCTCATTTTCCGAACCCTAGACTCCATTCTATGCAAGCCATGTTGGTATCATCAAGTGGTATCGTAGATCTACTCGTCATCCTCATCCGCCTCGTCGTTAACAACGTTGAAGAAGCGGAGCTCGTAGACGCCCTTGGAGGTGGAAACGACGCGGAGCCAGTCACGGAGCTGCTGCTTCTTGAGGAACTTCTTGGTGCTGTCATGGCATTAGCTTGTACCCTTTACCATTGCGAGATGCAGAATTGAACGTACAGGTACTTCAAGTAGCGGCCGGAGAACTCCTGGTGCGCAATGACCTCGATCTTGCCATCGCCCTGCTGGCTGATCTGGATGGTGTCGCCAAGGTTACCAGTGCGGCCCTCGACCTTGATGCGGTCGTGGAGGAACTTCTCGAAAGCCTGGATGTCGAAGATCTTGTCGTTGACGGGCTGCGAGCAGTTGATGATGAACTTCTTGGTGATCTTCTGGCCCTTCTTGGCGGCGGTGCTGCGCTTCTGTAATACAGGTACTTAGCCTACTGTTCATTTGTGCGCGGGGTGCTGTTGCTCCCTTGCGCTGGACAGCAAAGCAGTTGTACGTACGGTTGTGGACATTTTGGCGGTTTGGAGGAGGTGGGGAGCGCAAAGAAATGGATATCCTGCGTCTGTCGTAGAGGGGTTGAAGGATAAGAAATCGTCGCGCGGTGCGTAGGAAGTTCGAGCTGCTCAAAATTGCCGGCGCGTTGGTGGGATACTAGTCCCAAAGGGGATAGTTGCGCTAATCGTTCGAGCTCCGGTCATTGGTCGAGCTTTTTGAGGTTATCACGCTTCAGACACCTTCGACTGTAAACATCATGAACAAGTTAAGAAGCACGGGGAAAATCGTCGCTCATCTCAATTAACTCACAACACCTACACTGGGGAGGTGTTTGTGCAACAGATCGAAGTTGTCTGCATCGACGCGGTAGTCCTCTGAAACTAATGCAAAGCTTGCGTACTGCAAGAACTCTCCTTGAAGCAGGCATGGGTAATTGTTGGCTGCGCTGCTTTCAATCGTCTCCATGAAAGCTATATAGAGGAGACGATTCATGTTGAGCATATTGCGCCTGAGTAGGACGCTCTTTGTTCGGCTGTCGTAATGGAGGTGAGGAGGGGGACGGATGGGGAAATTTACGAACCACAAGGTCAAATGTGCGCATCCGAAAGTCAATGGATGCATATTCACAGAGTGCAGCACTCGCTGATTAGATGTTAGCCTCTACTATCGCTTTCTTTACTCAAAACTGAAATGATGAGATCAGATTTTGAGGTAGTGGATAGCCGCCAAAAGAGCACTATGGATTCGTGTGAGCGAAGAGGTACAAGTGAGACATTGCTGCTGGCCAGTTTTTGGCACGGCGTGGAAAGATTACTATGACGAAGATCTTTCGCTACCTGATCAAGCTACGTGTCGTTCATTCTTCGTGACTAGTATGTGTCTCTCCCTACCCACAGCACTCTCCATCGCGATAATATTCCTCGCTCTTACACAGACTCCCCTGCTGCAGGTGCATACCGAACGCAAAGACCGAGAGCAGGCCCCGGGTGTACAGGATGACCGCAGTAGGCACAGCCGTTGTCAACGCAATCAGAATCCTTAATACAACCGTATTGGTAGCACGCCTGTCGCTTCTCGATTATGTCCAACAAGTCTCTCGGATGATGCCTAGGGGATATATCTCTTCGCTATGTCTCGTTCGTCAGATACAAGGCCAGCTTAAGGCTAGGAGAAGGGGACTGACCTTTTCCCTAGATGAGTCCGGGATGGCTACCGCTGCGACTGCGAAGGTAAAGAGGGCGACGATTGATGAGCGCATGCTAGGCAAGGTAGTATGAGGGTGATGGTGTCGTGTATCTTGTATCAACTGGCGACTGACGACAGAAGACTAGAAAAGAGAATGTATGCTTCTCAACATGAGTATTTATGAATAATGGCCACTGGGTGTCTTTCGCTATTCATCTCGGCACAACATGTCTATAGCACATATATGGGGACTTCTAAATTG